CCTCCAGCTCTTGGGCTTAGGCGATTCTCTTGCCTCAGCCTCCCAAGTAGCTGGGACTACAGGTGCCCATCATAATGCCCGGCTATTTTTTGTTGCCTATTTTTTGTTGTTTGGCTGGGGCTGGGTTTGAACTTGCCACCCTTGGTATATAAGGCTGGCACCCTACTCACTGAGCCACAGGTTTAAGTTTTTGGTTTTTTTTTTTGAACCTCTGAGGCATTTTATTATAAAAAATTGGCACTCATATACATAAACTACTATGAACTCAAAATTTATTGTTAAGTTTACTTCATTTTTTTTTTTTTTTTTTGGAGACAGAGCCTCAAGCTGTCCCCCTGGGTAGAGTGCCGTGGCATTACAGCTCACAGCAACCTCCAACTCCTGGGCTCAAGCGAGTCTCCTGCCTCCGCCTCCCAAGTAGCTGGGACCACAGGCGCCCACCACAACGCCCGGCTATTTTTTGGTTGCAGCCATCATTGTTGTTTGGCGGGTCTGGGCTTGGGATTTGAACCCGCCACCTTAGGTGTACGTGGCTGGCGCCTTAGCCGGTTGAGCTATAGGCGCCGAGCCAGTCTACTTCATTTTTTTAGCTTGACCTTCTAGTAAATCTTTAGCTTCATTGATTTTGGCTGCTACAGAAAGAGATCCTCCTTTGTCTGGGTGATTTAAAAGCATAATTCTTCTATAAGCATCTCTTATTTTCCTCTTATTGGCAGTAGGGCTTACACCTAGTATTAATGCTGCTTCCTGTTTTGTCATTTTGGGTTCAAACCCACCTCTGTAATCCACTAAGGCGGATTTGGGCAGACTCTGAAAAACTTGTTTTACTTGAGGCTGCATATGCTTCATGGCTTGCAAAATGTAACGACCTGGAAATCCGGCAGCAGCAATCAATGGTTTGTCCAAATGCTACCACTGTACTGGCCATGGCTCTGGCTCAGCTCCCCCGCCTCCATCGGGAGCGCGGATCATCCCAGCCAAAAGGTCGTGGCCCCTAACTGCGTGCCTTTACTGGAGAGCAACGCAGCTGCAGGCAGCACTGGAACTGGCGCCCTACGAACTACCATAATAGAAACCACCCGCCCTACAATTTTTATGTTATGTATATACTATCACAATAAAAGAGGGAGGCTCGGCGCCCATAGCTCAGTGGTTAGGCCGCTGGCCACATGCACTGGGGCTGGCTGATTCGAACCTGGCCTGGGCCTGCTATCAACAATGACAATGACAACAACAACAAAAAATAGATGGGTGTTGTGGTGGGTGCTTGTAGTTAAGCCCAAGAGTTTGAGGTTACTGTTAGCTGTGATGCCATAGCCCTCTACCGAGGGTGACATAATGAGACTCTCTCAAAAAAATAAAAAATAAAAAAAAGAGAGAGCTACCATTGGTCAAGTCTGAGATAGTCTGCAAATCAAAATAAATAATATAGCAATAGATTTTAACTCATGGAGTAATACCATGAGTTGATACTAACATTAATAAATAAACAAGAAGGGAAAGTTCTACACTATAGTAGAATTCCAAGTAATAAATGCAGGATGATAGAATTAGAACATCATGATTTGGAAATCCTTAGGTAAGACTCACCAATAGATTCTAAAACTGGTGGGTGAAAGTCTAATGAGGAACAGGATGGTTACATATCTCAAAATTTTTATTATTAGTAAGTACAACACACACGCACAAAATAAGTACAATACTTACTAATTAACTTCACAGTGGAGAAACTTGGCAGGCCCCATCTTAACCAACTGCTAAAAGTTAACTTGGTCAGTCATAGGACAAATAGACATCATGTGGCTCCTGATAGGATGTGCCAAGAAGAGCACAGCATCACTTCTGTGTTATTCCTGTCCCCCAAAACATAAACCATGAGGCTTGGCACCTGGGGGTCAGTGGTTAGGGCACAGGCCACATACTTGGGGGCTGGAGGGTTTGAACTCTGCCCAGACCTGCTAAACAGCGACAACTACAAGAAAAAATAGCCAGGCATTGTGGCGAGCACCTGTAGTCTCAGCTACTTGGGAGGCTGAGGCAAGAGGACCACCTAAGCCCCAGTGTTTGAGGTTGCTGTGAGCTATGACCCCATGGTACAGTACCCAGGGTGACAAAGTAAGACTCTGTCTCAAAAAAAAAAGAAAGAAAGAAAACGATCAGTGTATTATTCATATATTTTTTCATACTAAGTCTTCAAATCCTGTGTGTATTTCATAGTTGCATAAAATTTAACATCTTAACCCTTTCTACTTAATAGTACACTCAAACTGCTGCACAATCATGCAGACTTTTTAATTCAGACGAGTCATATTTCAAGCGTTCAATAGCCACATGTGGCTAGTAGCAACCGTAGTAGTACAGTCCTTGAATTTTAGTTTCAGTTTTTTTGTTTTTTTCCTCTTTTCACATCGATATTTTTTAGACTTACTGTTTCTCTCATTTATTTGCTCATCATTGCTGCTTGCATTTCACAAAGTCTGAGAACTTTGTATTTTATGTTTATGGACAGCTCTTATCACAGGTGCCTAGTAAATGTTTTAAAACATTAATGACATCTGATGCAAGAATTATCAGAGAGAGGATATGAAACTGTTCAAGGGTTTGGAATTGAGTGTTCAAGATTTCATGGACAGTAGTCCGCAGTGGGTCAAATTACTATTTTTAGTATGATTTAAAACAATTTTAGGCTCAGAGCCTGTGGCTCAGGTAGCTAAGGCGCCAGCCACATACACCTGAATTGGCGGGTTTGAATATAGCCTGGGCTCGCCAAACTACAAAAAAAATAGCTGGGTGTTGTGACGGGCGCCTGTAGTCCCATCTACTTGGGAGGCTGAGGCAAGAGAATCGCTTAAGCCCAGGAGTTGGAGGCTGCTGTGAGCTGTGACACCACGGCACTCTACCCAGGGCGACAGCTTGAGGCTCTGTCTCAAAAAAAAAAAAAAACCAAAAAAAAAAAAACAGTTTTAAATCAGTTTTCAAAAAGATAAAAGTCTTGAGAAAAAAAGCTGGGGGAGTGAATTTCAGCATTATGTACCTATCCCATTAACTGAGACCAAAGTGCAATTCACCCACTTTTTCTCCTCTGATCCAGCATTTTGTACCAACTTCATATAGCTACTCATTCACACTCTGCTATACTCCAAGGGGCCTCAGGCATTTCCTTTTTTGCCTAAATGGTTTGAATTTCTCTTAATTTCTCTGGGATTTCTCACACAGTACCAGACATTCTCTTGGCATTAATTACATTAGCTTAATAAACAAAAGGTTGCATGATGGTGATATGACTTTTCTGAGCCTCTTATAACTTTCCAAGGTCTTTAATATAAACCTGTAGGTTTCAACAAAAAGATACCTCCCAAATTGTCTGAGAGGCCAGGAGTGCCTCTTCCCACATCTGGAGGAACTTGAGCACCCAGGTATTCCAAAGCTAATCAGAATTTAAAAGGAGACAAGTTACTTTGTCCTGTAGAAACTTGGATCACTCCCACCTCTTTTCCAGCTCTCAGAAACATCCTGTGCTCAGGTTGCCCTGTGTAGGGCTAGGCAGATTTAAATAATGGTTGATTTCTCTCTGCCAACCTGGAGAAAGGAAACACGTATTAGGAGACTCATGGCCCAGTCCTGGGAAAATGTGAAACTGTGTCTCTCTAAATGACCTAGATATCAAGAGAAGTAATTGCTTTTAGTTCTTTTTTCCCATCTTGTTCCTTCCCCTCCAAAATATATAATTGATCAGCTAGTCTGATTTAACACTGAGGAATTACTTAGAAATTGGGCGGCGCCTGTGGCTCAGTGGGTGGGGCGCCAGCCCCATATACCGAGGGTGGCAGGTTCAAACCCGGCCCGGCAAAACTGCAACAAAGATAGCCGGGCGTTATGGTGGGTGCCCGTAGTCCCAGCTACTAGAGAGGCTGAGGCAACAGAATCGCTTAAGCCCAGGAGTTGGAGGTTGCTGAGAGCTGGGACGCCACAGTACTCTACCGAAGGCCATAAAGTGAGACTCTATCTCTACCAAAAAAAAAAAAAGTATTTAGGAATCTGCTATCTTCAATCTAACTAATCTTTGCATCCCTAGAATCTGGAATAGTGCTGAGCCCAGATAAGAAAGCACCATTTGTTAAAGAAAGTACTGTTTTGTAATTCTAGGGAATTTAACATTTTGTTCTCTGCCTCAAAAAAGTGGACATTTTTTTTCAATTTCACATGGGACCAAAAATTTAAGAAAACAGGAAAGAAAAAAAGCGTTTCCCCAGGTCTCCATATGGTTATGCATGTCTCCAAACTGCTCCCTGTGGATGTCTGGAGGCCTCTTCTTGCAGGGAGCGAGGAGCTGAGGAGAGCCTAGTCCTCCTTGCACCACAAAGGCCAAGCTGTAAAATCTCTTGGTCTACGTTTGTACACGCGACACTTTCCATTAAAATAACAATAATGATAATATGTACACACAGAACAAAGTGTATAAATAAAAAAATTAAACATGTATTCCCATCACCGGGTCATAACACCTCTTGTGCTTTCACTATTGCTACACGTAGTTTCAAAACGAGATCTCCTATCCTCAAGACTAGTATTTCGCAGAATTGCTTTCCAGGCTTTTTTCTATCCCAAGGACGGATTTGCCTTCTATCTTGGCTTTCCGCTCCACTTGGGGCCCCGAAGTGACGGCCGAGAGAAAATGTTGCCAGGCTGAGGTAATAATCTGTTAGTTCTCACAAAAACTCGTCAGTCTGGAAATCTGTTTGGAATTAAATTCTGTCACTCCGGGTGAAAAAGAGTCAGCCTAAGGAGGGAAAATCCGTTAGTTGAGGAAACTCTCCGCTTCGGTCCGGGCTCCTCCAGATTCCCCAGCGCTAGGCTCCTGGGCCTCCCTGTCCAGGAAGGCGGCCTCCACGCGGGCGCCCTAGCCACACCCCCGTCGTGACGGTCGGACCAATGGGCGCCGAGCTCAGCCGTGCGTCACAAGGCGCTGGCCAACCGCGGAGGGCCACGTCCGTAGAAAGGCTGGGCGCGGCGCGGCTGGCCGCTGGACAGCGGCGGCTGGCAGTGGCGTAGACAGTCTCGGGCCATGGTGGTGGTGGCAGCCGCGCCGGGCCCGGCCGACGGGGCCCCCAAAGTCCTACTTCTGTCCAGTCAGCCCGCCGCCGCCGCCGGAGCCCCGGTCGGCCGGGCCCTGCCGCTCATGGTGCCGGCCCAGAGAGGGGCCAGCCCGGAGGCTGTGAGCGGAGGGCCGCCCCAGGCGCGCAAGAGACAGCGCCTCACGCATTTGAGCCCCGAAGAGAAGGCGCTGAGGAGGTGGGCAAGGGGCTAGAGTCGGGGGCCGTATCTAAAGCCTGGGCTGGGGTTGGAAGCGGGGGTCGGGCCCTGAAAACGCTTTTGGCCTGGCCAGTGCCGTGCCAGCGTGGCGTGGGGCGGGGTCAGGAAGCCTCGCTGACCGGATCTGCCCTGCTGCGTGGAATCCAGGGCCTCCCAGGCCTTTTCCTTTTGCTTTCCTCCGGCCTCATTAGAAGCGACTAGAGCTGGGGAGGCGGGCAGCTGGGCTCCAGGCCCTCTTGCTATGTGACCACAGACCAGTGGCTAATCCTCTCTGATCTCGGGCTCGGACTGTAAGATTAGCCTCTTCTTGATTTACTTTTTTTTTGTTTTTTTTGAGGGTTTGGGATGTGAAGCTGAGGCTGGGGGCTCTGTAAGATTCACTGGTCAGGCTCAGTCTCTGCAGGTTTTTTTTTTT